GCGGCACCAGCACACCGGGTTCTAGTCCCAGTTGGGGTGCCAGATTCTGTCCCGGTTGCTCCTCTTCCAGTCCAGCTCTCTGCTGTGGCCCGGGAGCGCAGTGGAGGATGGCCCAGGTGCACCCGCATGGGAGACCAGGAGAAGCACTTGGCTTCTGGCTTTGGATCAGCGCAGTGCGCCCGCTGCAGCGCGCCAGTCGCAGTGGCCACTGGGGGATGAACCAGCGGAAAAAGGAAGACCTTTCTCTCTGTCTCTCTCACTGTCTACTCTGCCTGTTAAAAATAAAAAAATTAAAGGTTTATTTATTTATTTACTTGAAAGAGTTACAGCAAAAGAGGAAGAGAAGGAAGGAGGGAGGGAAGGAGATAGAGAGAGAAATTTTCCATCCCCTAGTTTACTCCCCAAATGGCTGCAACTACCAGGGCTGGGCTAGACCAAAGCCAGGAGCCAGGAGCTTCATCCAAGTCTCCCACATGGATGGAAGGGGCCCAAACACTTGGATCATCCTCCGCTGTTTTTTCAGGCACATGAGCAGGTAGCAGCTGGGACTTGAACCAGCACTCAGATGGGATGCTGATGCTGTAGACAGTGGCTTAACCTGTAATATCACAGTGCTTGCCCCACTTATTAATTCTTTCAGCTTTTGTCTGAAAAAAAAAATTTACTTTTGTTTTCTTTTTGAATATTTATTTATTTGAGAGGTAGAAACACAGAGAAACAGAGAAACCTCTCATCTGCTGGCTCACTCTCCTAATGCCCACAATAACTGACTAGGGCTGAATCAGACCAAAGCCAGGAGCCAGGAACTGCAGCCGGGTCTCCCATGTGAGTGTCAGGGACCCAAGTGCTTGAGCTGTTACCTGCTGTCTCCCAGGGTGCTCCTCAGCAGGAGCCTGGAATTGGGTGCAGAATCAGGACTTGAACCCAGGCCCTCCAATGGGAGATGGAGGCATCCCAAGTGGTGTCTTAACTGCTGGGCCGAGCGCCTGTCCCTCGCCTTCATTTCTGAACACTTTTCCTAGGGGTTGCAGTCAAGCTTGACAGTGGTAGGGTTATAACGGATGTAGGTCCAAACCTTTTATTGTAGAAGAGACAGCACCTGGACAGTAGGCAGGGAGTCTAGGGGAGGGCAGATGTCCTTTGATGCTCCCTGTCGTGTATTTTTGCAGGGACCCACGCCCGCAGGGTCTGGAGAAGCAGAAAGCTCCGTGAGTGGGGTTTATCAGCATCAGCGATGTACACCGTGTGGTCTTCTCAGCCCACTGCCCTGGCAAGGAGGGGCGAGGGTCAGAGTCATGCAGTCACTCTGAGGCAAGGTGATGCCTCAGAGTTATCCTCAGGGTCCTGCTGTAGCAGGTTCAGAGTTAACCATTTGGGTTCCAATGGCCTGGTTAGTCCTCAGAGACAGTATTTTTCTTATTGCTGTGCTGTTTTGTCATTTGTATCACTTCCAGTGACCATTTGTTATCATCCACGTCTTTATTCCTCAGTTTGAAATGAGTCTTTTTATGCTGGCTGCTTTTAAGATTTCTATTGGTTTCTGGCTGGCGCCGCGGCTCACTAGGCTAATCCTCCGCCTAGCGGCGCCGGCACACCGGGTTCTAGTCCCGGTTGGGGCGCCAGATTCTGTCCCGGTTGCCCCTCTTCCAGGCCAGCTCTCTGCTGTGGCCAGGGAGTGCAGTGGAGGATGGCCCAGGTGCTTGGGCCCTGCACCCCATGGGAGACCAGGAAAAGCACCTGGCTCCTGGCTCCTGCCATCAGATCAGCGCGGTGCACCGGCCGTGGCGGCCATTGGAGGGTGAACCAACGGCAAAGGAAGACCTTTCTCTCTGTGTCTCTCTCTCACTGTCCACTCTGCCTGTCAAAAAAAAAAAAAAAAAAAAAAGGTTTCTATTGGTTTCTGTTTCCATTGAAAAATTTGATTTTTGTATGTGTGTGCCTTGATGGAGTTTTCTTCATGTTTCTTGTGCTTGGGGTTTGTTGAGCTTCCTGGATTTGTTGGTTTATCATTTTCATCAAACTTTGGAAAAACTTCAATCATTTTTTTTCTTGTACCTAACTAACTTTTCTGCTCTTCAGTGAGAACCATGAAGATAGCAGCTGTTGAAATTGTCCCATGGCTCATAGATGCTTTATTTATTTTAGCAAACATTCTCTGGTGTGTTTCCTTTTGAGTAGTTTCTCTTTCTGTGTCACATTCACTGATCTTTCCTTCTGCAGTATCTAATTTGCCATGGAACCCACTGCTTATTTTTTTTCATTGTAGACATTGTTTTCATCTCTAGAAGGTTTTTTTTTTAAGATTTATTTATTTATTTATTTATTTATTTATTTTTTTTGATAGGCAGAGTGGACAGTGAGAGAGAGAGACAGAGAGAGAAAGGTCTTCCTTTGCCGTTGGTTCACCCTCCAATGGCCGCCGCTGCAGCCGGCGCACCGCGCTGATCCGATGGCAGGAGCCAGGATCCAGGTGCTTTTCCTGGTCTCCCATGGGGTGCAGGGCCCAAGCACCTGGGCCATCCTCCACTGCACTCCCTGGCCATAGCAGAGAGCTGGCCTGGAAGAGGGGCAACCGGGACAGAATCCGGCACCCCGACCGGGACTAGAACCCGGTGTGCCGGCGCCGCAAGGTGGAGGATTAGCCTATTGAGCCACGGCGCCGGCTCAAGATTTATTTATTTTACTTGAAAGAGTTATACAGAGAGAGAAGGAGAGGCAGAGAGAGAAGAGAGAGGTCTTTCATCCGCTGGTTCACTCCCCAATTGGCTGCAACTGCTGGAGCTGCACCAATCCAAAGCCAGGAGCCAGGAGCTTCCTCCACATCTCCCATGCGGGTGCAGGGGCCCAAGCACTTGGGCCATCTTCTACTGCTTTCCCAGGCCATAGCAGAGAGCTGGATCGGAAGTGGAGCAGCTGGGACTCGAACTGGCGCCCATATGGGATGCCAGCACTACAGGCTGTGGCTTTATCCTCTATGCCATAGCACTGGCCCCCATCTCTGGACATTTAATCTGAGCCCCTTTTATATCTTACATGCCTTTGCTTAACTTTTGAGCATAGAATATAGAGTTATAATAATTGTTTTATGCCTTTCCTAAATCTAACTTCTGAGTCAGTTCTGGGCAGATTTTATTTGCTTGATCCATTGTTCTCTTTAGAATGTGCCATATTTTTCTGCCTCTTTGCATGCCTGATAGTTTTTGATCAGATGCTAGATATTTTAGCTTGTGGGATATTTTTGTATTCTTATAAACCTTTAGGTTTGTTCTGGAACTCAGTTAAGTTACTTGGAGGCACTTTGATCCTATATGAAAGTGTTTTAGTACTTTGTGGATTATGAAATGTTCTAGTTTAGAAAGTCAGTGGCACTGGTATTGTGTGAATAATAATCTTCTCACTTTTTTTTTAAGATTTACTTTTTATTTATTTGAAAGACAGCGTGACAGAGGGAGGAAAGGAGGGAGGGAGGGAGAGAGAGATTGATTGATTGATCGATTGATCTTCTGTCTGTTGGTTCACTCCCAAATGGCCATAACAGCCAGGGTTGGGCCATACCAAAGTTAGAATGCAGAACTCCAAGTGGGTCTCCCACGTGGATGGCAGGGATCCACCATCTGCTGTCCACCAGTTGCATTACCAGGAAGCTGGGATTGGGAGTGGGGCTGCAACTTGACCCCAGGCACTTGATATGGGATGTGGACATTCCAAGGACTGACCTGACTGTTAGGTTAAGTGCCTGCTCCCATGATGTCCACCCAGATCCCTTCCTCACGTTAACGGAGCCTCCACCCTCTGCTGGGAAAGGCATTCCTTCCTACAAGCTTCCACAGTGCAGTCATTTATTGTGATCCTAGTAGTTGTTATATTCTGCATTTTTATTACAATAGTTTACTCACCTTTTTGTAAGATTCCTATAGTCAGACACTTTGTTGCCCCTAGTAGGTGTTGTATCGAGTCAGAAGGAAGGAGACCTGGCCTTGGAAGGCAGAGACTAAGCATTAGCAGTAACCAGAAGAGAGAGAACATCTGAGCTTTGAATGAGGTGTTTTGTAAAGCCTTGTTTGAGTCCAGGAGCTTTTGGATTGGGTTAGCAAATACATTAAGACTTGCTTGGTGAATAGGATTGAATGGTATGTTGAGAAGGATTCTGAGGCCACATCCTGGTTCCATGAGAGATAAAATGTTGGCATGTCTCAGATACTGTGATAGTTTTTGACTAAATGCGTGAGATATTTCAAAGTAATAGCTAAAAAAAGTATGTTAGGTGATATCGATATATATATATATATATATATATGTAGATAGATAGATAGATAGTTTACTTCTGTGAACAACTCAGGAAGTTTAGTTCTATTAATAGCCCCATTTTGCAGGTAGGGAAAGTGAGGTGCGGTTAAATAACTGGTAATTCTGCTTCCAGAATCTGCGTTTCTGTCCCTGCCTGCTTTGTTTCGGAAAAATCGTAGTAGTCAACCTACAGAGTTGTACTTCCCTGGTTAGGTTTTGCACAGGACTTGGCGCCCCAAAGTCATGCAGATGCTTATTCACAGCCCAAGTCTTACATTAACATGAATGGGTTCATGGTTGATGGATTAAGGATGGAGCTTAGTCTGTGATGGCATGTGAAGGTGGGGCTTTGGGAAGTGGGTTGGGCGGAGCCCCAGGACTGAACTGTGATGGCACTATCAGGAGAGGCCACATCGGGAGAAGATGAGTTCACTTCCTGTCCCTCTGCTGCCTGGGTCACCTGAGATTGTCCCTCCACCAGCCCCAGCCTCGCCAGGTGCCTAAACAATGGGGCTGTCCCATCTGGCCCGAACCCTCGAACTGTAAAATGCAATAAGCCTTCTTCCTTCCTCAGTGGCGCCTCTCAAGTATTTTAGAGTAACAAAAAGCTGACTGATTACGGAAGGGACAAAGTGAATTTGTTCTCGGAAACATCACCGTGGTCTGTCTTCCGCGATTCGTCGTGTCTGATCGTGCCTGTTTTCTTCCCGCAGGATCCCTTGCCAGCTCCATCTTTGACCCACTCAAATCTCTCGTGGGCGCTTCGGGAGGCGTCTACGCTCTGATAGGAGGCTATTTTATGAATGTTCTGGTGGTAAGACCTCTAGAAATGGAGTTTGTGGACTTCTTGGTCTCTTTTTAAAACAGAACTGGTTCAGGCAGTCCTCACCGACCAGTGCTTACGAGCAGTCATCTGCTTTCTAAGAATCGTAGGACCAACCGTCCACCTTGCCCATCTCATCTTTTTTTGCCTGATGAGCACTAATATCATGAGCACTAAATAATGGCTTAAGTTAAAAAAAAAATGTAAAGTCAAGGTCCTCCATATAGTATTTGTTAAGTTTGATGATTGTATCTCCATTCAGACCTTCTCTTGGTATTCAAAACCCTGGTGATGCTACTACTAGAAACATGGAAGTGCTTTTGTATTGTGCTTCATGTTGATGTGGGGTGCTGCCCACCCACTCACCTCGCCAGCACGGAGCTGCTGTCAGTCTTGGCAGGTGCCCCAGAGTATTCTGTATGGAGCTGGGTCCTGATTTGTTTAGGGAATTGCTGCTTGAAAACAACGTGGGGTGACTCAAGCTGTTCATATTTACAGAGAATGTTGTAAAGAATGTTTTATCGTTTTGTATTTCTGTGTGGTTTTTTTTTTTTTTTTTTTTTTTTTTGTAAGAGAAGTTCCTGGAAGTGGATTTACTGGATGAAGGCTTCACATTTTGATCACTCTCTCTCTCTCTCCCTCTCCCAGATTGCCCCCTGAAGTTGGCATATCATTTTTATACTGCTATGAGCAGTAGGTACAAATGCCAACTGCTTTTTAAAATGGGCTAAAACCCTGACTGGCTCTTAGCCCTTTAACCTTATAGGTATACTTTAAAAGTGCTCTAGGAGAAAAAAATATCAAATGATTATAAAATTGCCCCAAATGCAGAAGTCATTTAGCAAAATGGTTTTTAGACTTTGGATTGCAACTCTGAGTTGTTGTGAATTTAGTTTAAGGGATTGTGGCCAAAAATTCAACAAAATTAAAAAAATCAGAGCGTATCATGTCTGATATGGGTAAGTAGGTTCGATTTATGTGTGTACTGAATTGTGATCTAAATTATTTCTTTTTTAAGAAATGTATTTATTTTTATTTGAAAGGCAGTTACAGAGAGAGAGAGAGAAAGGGAGAGACACACAGAGAGATCTTCCATCTTTTGGTTTACTCCCCAAATGGCCACAACAGCTGAGGCTGGGCCAGGCTGAAACAAGGAGCCAGGGCTTCTTCTGTGTCTCCCATGTGGGTGCAGGGGCCCAGGCACTTGAGCCATCTTCCACAGCTTTCCCAGGAGCATTAACAGGGAGCTGGAGTGGAAATGGGGCAGCAGGAATTGAACCATTGCCCATATGAGATACTAGCGTTGCAGGCGGCTGCTTACCCCACTATGCCACAATGCCGGCCCCAGTGTATATTATTTCTTGCTGTAGGTTGTGGTTACAGAGCTTGAAAATGATTGATAGTAAACATGCCTATTTCAGCACTTTTACTTTTTGAGAAGAAAGTTGCTAACTTGAAAAGAGAGTAGTAATTCAGTAAAAGGAGAAATTTCTGTACAGTTTTGTAGTGACACAAGGGTTATTGAAGGTGCACTATGGTTTTTCAAAGCTAAAACCGAATGTTTTTTGAACAACATTTAATTTTTTCTTTTGAAGTCTCCTTCATTTTAGCGTCTTTGCTAATTACCACTGGGATAGAGGATGAAGAAATATCCAACGGATATTAACAAAGCAAACTTGTAAATATCCCATTAGACTTAGTTTGACAGCATTTATTTTTTAACAACATGTTAAGTGTTGGTTTTGTATTACTTAGGTTGTTTCTGGCTGATAAAACTGTATCTAGTTTATGTCATGAAATGAAACATCATGTTTCAGTTTGTTCAAAGTGCACTGGTGCTGTACCCAAGTCCATCGGAAAACTCATGCTTTGTTTTGCAAATATCTGACACTCAAATGAAATGGAAAGTAGATGAAGAGGGTGTGAAGTTGAGGTTTCATCTGCCAATAGATAGCTTATATTATCATTATTTATCTCTTTGCAAGAATTTTCGAGAAATGATTCCTGCCTTTGGAATTATCAGACTACTGATCATCATCCTTATAAGTAAGTGTGTTTTGTGAACACCTCCCACCTCCCCCTGCAGCTGCTCAGCCTTCCGAGGGCCTTTCACATCTCCCAGACACTGTCAGTGAGGACGACTGCTGGCCTGGGTCAGGAGGAAATGTCCCTCGGATCCCTACCCAGAAAGGGGTGAATGGAGGCGTTTGCACAGACCTTACGGTGGTTCTTGGGGGTGCTTCAGTGGTGGGCTCTTGCTTTTCTTATCTCCCTGTGGGCTAAGGAAGTAGCGCTCTGTGCTCTCCTCTGCTTCAACCACAGTGGCCTCCCAGAGGACTCACATGCTAGGCTTTCCTCTTTCCTACATTGGAATTTGTGGATGATTTTGTCTGCAAAGGGCAAGCTCAGAAACCACTGATATAGCCTGTCTTCTTCTTAGTTTTTAAATGTTCAAATTAAAAAACAAACAAACAAACACAAAATTGATCTAGGACAGAAGGCCAGAGGTGGTGACTGGGTATGGAAGACAAGAGAGTGGAGGCCAAGGAACAGAGAGGCCCAGGAGTGGGGAGGGTATCTAATTTGAGTCTTTTGGAATCCTGGAGAATTCTAGAACTACATGCTAAAAGGAATTTAGGACGGATGCCCCACCTGGTGAGAGAGAGGAATTTTAGCCGAGTCTGAAAGCAAGGATAGATTTGGGATGCTGGCAGGCCAGGCAAGCTAGAAGAAGGGATGAGCAAAGGTGGGCTGGGGGCTTGTGTTCATGGACCTCCTCCAGTCCAGCTGTAGCCACCCTGGGTGGGCCCTGAGGTCAGACTTCGAAGCCAAGGCAGAAGTGACACTGGATAAAGCTTAGGCTTTTGACTGTTCAAAGTAAGAAAAAATTATTCTGCTAATTGGCATCAAGAGTTCAATCATCCACATTATGGGACCAAGGGTCACTACCTCTATGGGACAGACTACATTTAGGTGTTGAACTATTGGTAAAAACAGCAATGATTTCACTTGGAGATAAAATTATTTACCTGTTTATACTGAACTGTGCATACTTCTCTCTACATGTTACCCAGAGAGCAAGCGGGACATTGCCAGCAGAGAAAGGAGGGGGAGAATCTGGGGTCTAGCAGAGCCGCTGTAGGAGCAGACCCCCCGTAGGAGCAGACCCCCCACCCAAGTTGTTAGGAGTCACAGCCAGAACCAACGAAGGAGCCAGCGTTATTCCCCAAGTTACCCGGGTCTTCAGTCAATCTACTTCTTTTAGGTGATTATCAGTGACCTTTGTAAAATACACCTCATGCCATTAATAAGAAAATGGGCTCAACAGACGTCTTTTAATACTGTTCAGTGCTGCAGGACAGGCAGTTTATGTAGTGTGACGCCATTCCTCAGCAAGTACTGACGGCACTCGATGGTGCCTGTTCACAGTTAGCCTACAGACTTCTTGGTGAGTGCACAGGATATGCTCATGGGAACCCTCCCAGCTCCTGGCACATGCTATTTCTAACAGTTCTTTGGTCTGGTTTCCCTGGGATTGAAAATGAGAAGAGTTGCAACACTAGGTTCATAAAATACAAATCAAGGAATACCAATATATTTTTATTTGGAACCCATTTTCTTGGAAACATATACAGTATTGCTTTGTTTATTTATTTGAGAGGGAGGGAGAGAGGGAGAGGGAGAGGGAGATCTCATCTACTAATTCTCTTCCCAAATGTCCACAATGGCCAAGATTAGGCTGGGCCAAACCTGGGAGCCAGAAGCTCAATCCAGGTCTCCCATATAGGTGGCAGGAGCCCAATCACTTTAGCCATCACGATCCCTGCTGGAGTGAGGAGCCAGAGCTGGGTGTTGAACCCAGGTCCTCTGATGTGGGGTGCAGTTGTCTTAAGGGCTAGGCTAAACACCTGCCCCTTGTTTCGCTTTAAATAGTGAATGTCTTTTCTTCAATATTATTCTTTATGTGAAGGACAGTTGGGCTTAGGACCCTTTCTTCATCAAGCATTAGTTGTGGGATGTGTTTTCCAACTAAGCAACTGAGTTTCCTTTTGAGAAAAGTTACGGGAATGTCACATTTTCATCCTTAAAAAAAAATCCATATAAAGGTGACTCTTAAAGTGAGTACTGAATTTTTAACGGGGACAATGACTTGGTTTATTGCAATAAGGGCTTCATTTTAGGTGGGAAAAAAAAAGTCCCAGTTTAGAGGTTGTAGCAACCCAGGAGCAACTCCCCCCTGAGGAAAGACGTGCAGAGATGAGAGGCAGCTCCCTAGTGGGATAAACAAGACATTGACATTTTGATGGCTACAGTGTAGGAGAGGGGGACTCCTACTGTGGACTTCTAGACCAAAAGCAACTGTTTCCAGTTAAGTCTGCCCTGTTCTCTGGAGCAGAATTTTTGTTATGTTCTTGTAGCCCTGTGTTTTTCAGGCTGCATCCAGAAATGCCAATGCCTGCAAGTGTGATAGAGCTTCATTTGTCCAGCACTGCGTGGGAGAGTCATGTACAATTAAATTAATATTGAATACTTGCTCAACCTCAATTTCTGTGCAGTGACTTCAGCGTCAATACAGTATTGAAAGGGGACATGGCCAGAACACATGGTCCCTGCGGCCATTTCCCCAAAGGCAAGGACTAGGTCTCAGTACCTCACGGGACGCAGTGGCTCAGTTAGCAGAGCACAGGGAGTTGAGGGTGGCCGTAGAGTGTGAAAGAGAAATTTCCTAGCATGGCACACAGAGGGCAGAATTCTTGTAGGCCGAGGCAGGGAGACCTGGAAGCTCCTTCTGCAGCGAGAGCTGAGAGAGGCCCACAGAATGTGGGCGTGTTTCCTTTCCTGGCCTATCTAACGCCTGATGGTGATTAGTCAGTGCCTCAGTGCGGTGCATGAGAGTGGAGCACTCTTTTTTTTTTTTTTTTTTTTTTCTTTTTGAAAGGTAGAGTAACAAAGAGAGAGAGAGGGGGAGGGGGAGGGGGGGGGGAGGGGGAGGGGGAGAGGGAGAGGGAGAGGGAGAGGGAGAGATCTTCCATCCTCTGGCTCACTCCCCTAGATGGCTGCACCAGCTAGGGCTGTGCCAGGCTGAAGCCAAGAGTCAGGAGTTTCTTCCAGGTCTCCCATGTAGGTGCAGGGGCCCAGGGACTTGGGCCACCCCTGCTGCTTTCCTAGGCACATTAGCAGTGGGGCAGCCAGGACTCGAACTGGCGCCCATATAGGATGCTGGCATTGTAGGCCGCAGCTTAACCCGCTGTGCCACAGCGCCAGCCAAGCGGAGCAGTCTTTACGTATAAAATGGAACCGTTGGCACTCACGTAGAGAGCTACAATCAGAGCAATCTTCCAGCTGGTTTCCATGCTCTTGTTCTTGCTCCCTTATAGTCTATTTCACAGGATCTGTCCTCTGCTATGTCTCTGGCCTCATCGCTTGCTGCTTTATCCCTAACCCTAGTTGAGAATCACTTGGAGGTCTTGTTGAAATGCAGAATGTTGAGCTCCATCTTCAGAGTTCCTGGGTCACAGGTCTAGGGAGGGTCTGGAAATTTCCATTTCTGCTAATTCTTAGGTGATGCTGATACTGCTTTGAAGACCATGGATCCGCCTGCTCAGCTGCTTTGGAATCCTCTCACACACCAAGCACACTCCTGTCTTTGGGCTTTGTGCTTGCTCTTCTTCCTGGAAGACTCCTGCTTCTAACATCAGCGAGGCCCGGTCCCTTCTCTGCATCCCATGTCACGTGCCTGGAGGGACCTTCCCTGCCCCTCTTCTTACTCCTGGCATCCTCAACACTCCTTCCCCTCTTTGTATTTGCTCCAGAGCACTTAGTGCCATGTGACGCGCTGTACTTGACCTGTCTGCCTCCTGCCATGAGACCGTTAGCGCCATGAGGCAGGGCAGTTTGGTCTCTGCCATGCTGGACATCTACTGCCTGGAGTGGTGCCTGGCACACAGCGGATGTCAGTGATGAATGACTAAGTCTGTAAAGTGGGGTGATGATAGCACCTACTCAAGAGGTGGTTGTGAGGATTCACGAGCCCTTTGGACAGCACCCAGCAGAGTCTCAATAACTTCTATTACTATTACTATATTATTATTTGGGGGGAACCAAAGACCTTTGGTGCACTGTTATGGAGACCCTTGGGCTTCATCAAGGTGTTTTTCCTTCTAGTTGTATCGGACATGGGATTTGCTCTCTACAGAAGGTTCTTTGTCCCTGCAAATGGGTCTCCGGTGAGTTCAGTCTTTCCTTTTCTAAAAATAAAAAGTGATTGCCCATCAAAAAGTAGGGGTTATAACTCTGTGATTGAGGTCAAATTTCCATTTGTAAGTTAAGAAAATTCCTAAGGAAAATAGACTTGGGAACTGTCCTCACTTACCTCTCCTTCTCCCTGGCCACTGGGCTCCACCCCACTGGCCCTACCCTACTGGGACTATTCCAAAGGAGAGAAAGGATTTCCCTTTCACAGAGGAAAAAGAGCAGGCTGCAGACTAGTGATGAAAATTTCAGCCCATTGAATGTATAACATAAAGAAGATTGATGCTTTCAGTCTCACTAGGATTCATCTTTTAATTTGGTAGTTTTTGTTTGAATAATTATATGTTATCACTTGTGTTTTAGTTTTGGCTTTTTAAAAAAAGTATTTTATTTATTTGAAAGGTAGAATTACAGTGATAGAGAGAGAGAGAGATCTTCCATCTACTGGTTCACTCCTCAAATGGCTGCAACAGCCAGGGATGGGCCAGGCTGAAGCCAGGAGCCAGGAGCTTCATTCAGGTCTCCCACATGGGTGCAGGGGCCCAAGCACTTGGGCCATCTTCTGCTGCTTTCCCAGGTGCATTCACAGGGAGCTGGATCAGAAGTGGGGCAGCCGGGTCTTGAACCCATGCTCATATGAGATGCTGGCGTCACAGGCAGAGGCTTAACCTATTACATCACAATGCCAGTGTCAGTTCTCTAGGCTTAAATTTTTGTTCGACTGTGACAGAGTTTGTGTTTTGAGTAGGAGAGGTGCAAGTGAAATATGTCATGCATATTTTCTTCACTTACTTCTATCCCCCCTCCTTTCTTATCTTTTCTCCAAAGGTGTCCTTTGCGGCGCACATAGCAGGCGGATTTGCTGGAATGTCCATAGGTTACACTGTGTTCAGCTGCTTTGATAAGGCACTGCTGAAAGACCCAAGGTTTTGGATAGCAATTGCTGCTTATTTAGCCTGTGTCTTGTTTGCTGTGGTTTTCAACCTTTTCTTATCCCCAGCAAACTGACCTACCCCTAGTATAAGCCAATTAATGAAGCTACCATCTTGCTGGTGGTGGTGGGGAGAGTGGAAACTCTTGTGAAGACACAGAAGTCCCAGCCGTGCCAACGATTGTATAAGGAGGACGAAAGCAGCACCCGTCCGTCGCAAGGACTGCTTACAAGGGACACTTCGGATGGCAGGCAGGGGCTTCTGATGCAAAGGGAGGAAGGGGAAGACAGAAAAGCAGGGAAGGCATGAGCTGAGCCTTCCTCGGGCACCCGACATGCTTGCGTCCTCCAAGGGAAAGTCGCTGTCCTTGGAGATGGCTGGACAGCACCCATGAATAATGTACTATGCTGACAATAAAAACTTTGCATACCTGTGTCAGACTCTTGATAACCATGTTTAAGTAGATTGCTCTTTAAGTGGATCACTGCTGTTCTGGGTCTGTACAGATATTATTGTGCATCTTCTTAACAAACCTGAAAAGTAGGTATTAATTAGTCTGTAACTTAGACATGAAACGCTTTTTTTTTTTTTAAATTTTTTGACAGGCAGAGTGGACAGTGAGAGAGAGAGACAGAGAGAGAAAGGTCTTCCTTTGCCGTTGGTTCACCCTCCAATGGCCGCCGTGGCCGGCGCGCTGCGGCCGGCGCACCGCGCTGATCCGATGGCAGGAGCCAGGAGCCAGGTGCTTTTCCTGGTCTCCCATGGGGTGCAGGGCCCAAGCACCTGGGCCATCCTCCACTGCACTCCCTGGCCACAGCAGAGGGCTGGCCTGGAAGAGGGGCAACCGGGACAGAATCCAGCGCCCCAACCGGGACTAGAACCCGGTGTGCCGGTGCCGCTAGGCGGAGGATTAGCCTAGTGAGCCGCGGCGCCGGCCCGACATGAAACGCTTTTTCTTTTTCTTTTTCTTTTTTTTTTTTTTTTGACAGGCAGAGTGGACAGTGAGAGAGAGAGACAGAGAGAGAAAGGTCTTCTTTTGCCGTTGGTTCACCCTCCAATGGCCGCCGCGGCCGGCGCACCAAACTGATCTGATGGCAGGAGCCAGGTACTTCTCCTGGTCTCCCATGGGGTGCAGGGCCCAAGCACTTGGGCCATCCTCCACTGCACTCCCTGGCCATAGCAGAGAGCTGGCCTGGAAGAGGGGCAACCGGGACAGAATCCGGCGCCCCGACCGGGACTAGAACCCGGTGTGCCGGCGCCGCAAGGTGGAGGATTAGCCTATTGAGCCACGGCGCCGGCTCTGAAACGCTTTTTAAAAATTGATTGTCTGGGCCAGCGCCGCGGCTCACTAGGCTAATCCTCCGCCTTGTGGCGCCAGCACACCGGGTTCTAGTCCCGGTCGGGGCACCAGATTCTGTCCCAGTTGCCCCTCTTCCAGGCCAGCTCTCTGCTGTGGCCAGGGAGTGCAGTGGAGGAAGGCCCAAGAACTTGGGCCCTGCACCCCATGGGAGACCAGGAAAAGTACCTGGCTCCTGCCTTTGGATCAGCGTGGTGGCCGCAGCGCGCTGGCCGCGGCGGCCATTAGAGGGTGAACCAACGGCAAAGGAAGACCTTTCTCTCTCTGTCTCTCTCTCTCACTGTCCACTCTGCCTGTCAAAAAAAAAAAAAAAAATCGATTGTCTGTCTGAAGGGGGAAGAATTTCAACCTAAGAGACATGGCTGGAAAGCCCATATATGTGCCAAATATTGAAGGAGGTTGGAGCATCCTAGGAGTAGTGAAACAAGCCTCTCTGGGGCTGCGCCATGAGTGGAAGCAAAACCTTACTGAAGACGTGGCGCTCTCTGGGATGCTAGTTCAAGATTCTAGTATTATGTCTGAGTTCCCAAGGAAGCTGGAACTGGCTCTCTGGCGCACGCTGTGTACCTGGGCTCTCTGAATTCTCATTGGTCATACGCTTCTCACTCTTCATGTGGCTAGTGGCTCTCCTTGCAGTGGAAAGAATCTATTTACACAAGGTAGGAATGTCACATCTATAGGCTGAGAAACCTAATTCCTTTTACCCATACAAAACCTGGACCGCTGATTTTTCTGTTTTCTAAAATGGTAGTTGTCAGTCACCTGAACACAGGAAATATAGATTTTTCTTCTTACATCATCAATATGTTTTATTTGTTAAATATTTAAATGTGTTACTGAATTCTGAAAGGAGCACATAACACTTAATTAGGTAGAGTGAGAATAGTCAGTACTCTAGCATGTTGAGAAAAACTGATCTGGGATTTGCCAGGAATTTTTTTTTTTTAATTTATTTGACAGGTAGATATATAGATAGTGAGATTCAGAGACAGAGAGAAAGGTCTTCCTTTTTCCATTGGTTCACCCCCCAAATGGCCACTATGGCCAGAGCTACACTGATCTGAAGCCAGGAGCCAGGTGCTTCCTCCTGGTCTCCCACGTGGGTGCAGGGGCCCAAGCACCTGGGCCATCCTCCACTGTCACCCCGGGGCCACAGAAGAGAGCTGGATTGGAAGAGGAGCAACCGAGACTAGAACCCGGAGCCCATATGGGATGCCGGCGCCAGAGGCGGAGGATTAACCAAGTGAGCCACGGCGCCGGCCCCTTGCCAGGAGAATTTAAGCATGAGTCTGAGAATATGACTATGTGTTTGCTTAAACAAAGACTCAAATAGGAATTTAGAAGATAAATGCTCCTTTTACCTTCCTACCCCAAACCGGCTCTTTTTTCCCAGTGATGATCGTTGTCAACACTTTGGTGTATACCCTTACAGACTTTCTTCTATCTATGATAAGCAGAAAGAGAAAGAAATTTTAGTTGAGGGCTGACTCAGTCACCGCATTAACTGCACTGCATCTGCTCTTCACCTGCGAAGGAACAAATGCACTTAGAGAACAGACTGAAGGTGTACACGCTATAACTCTCAAGCGGGATTGGCTTCCCAGATTTACCTCAACAAGAAAAGTCTGTGTTCATTTCTTTGTGCTAATCAAATTTAGACAGATAAAATGTAGGTTTTTAACAAAATAAATAAATGCATGTACTGTTTTATAATTGTTTTGTAATATGACTTACAGGTCTTTCTGTGTTAATGTATAAAAATCATTTTTCCTCTGAATTGCTGGATTATATAGATGTACTATGGTTAACACTTCCTCTACTGGACATTTAAGTTATTGCTGATTTTTTTTCAATTACCAAGAGTGCTATGTGAACATCTTAATACATGCAGTATGTTTTTGGGTAGGTTTGCTGAATGAATGAATTTTTCTTACATCCAGAAGCAGAAATGCTATGTTAACTTTGTATATTTAAACTGCCTTGTAAGTAGATGTATCTAGTTATATTTTATACCTATAGTATAGTAAATTTCCTCCTACTTTGTCAAAAGATGGGATTGTAAATCTTGAAATTTTTGTATTTTTATAGTTAAAATATAATACATTTAAATTTATATTTCTCTAAGGTTGAATAGTTTTCAAGTTTATTAATTTATGTTTCACATATGTAATTTATGGACTATAGTAATAAACATGTATATAAAATGCTTACATTTAATATGAAACTTTTTTAAATGTTTATTTTCATCTACTTGAAAGGTACAGTGAGAGAGAGAGACTATCTTCCATCCACTGGAATGGATGCTTACTTCCCAAATGCCCACAACAGCCAGGGTTAGACCAGGCCAAAGCCATAAGCTCAGAACTCCATCCGATCTCCCGTGTAACACTGAGTTACAAACAGAAAATGTGACAGAGAAACAGGATTTATCTGATAATGAAATTGGACATGACCCACTAATTAGGGCTGATGATTAAGAAGTTGTTTAATAACAAAGGTGTTTTCATACTGGAAACATGTTTCACATTACCAAAAACAGTTACATTTTATTGGATGTCCCCAGTCACACCAATTACACCAAACACACACACACACACACACACACACACACACACACACACACTCATCCCTCCTGGTGCTTTAAATTGACATCTCTTGATTTATTACAATGTTATTAGGAATACTGGAAACATTCTTCATCTGTGATGTCCAATAAGTTAGCCACTAGGCACATGCAGCTCTTTAAGCTTCTATTAAAATAAACATTTTAGTTGCTGTGATAAGCAAGTCCTATGGCCAGTGTTTAATAGCTACATGTAGCTAGTGGCTACCTTACTGGATAGCATGAGAATTATCTCCACTGTGGCAGGAAGTTCTATTGGACAGTGCTGTTTTAGAGGCAACAACGAGCAGAAAGGGGAATGGATTTCAGTTATCGGCTGACTCACTGCACTGCCTTGCACTGAATCTGCTCTGCAGTGCCAAGGGACAAATTCAGAGGACGTGGTCCAACTTCCAGGCATGACTGCTGCTCAGGCTTACCTACACTCAAGAAGGTCTGTGTCAATTTCTGTCTTAGCTAATTCTGGAAGAGATGCCTGAAACCTTTGGATTCTATAGTACTGAATTTATGTATGCTAGTTTTCATGCCCTTAGCTATGGAACCTTTCATTTGTGGCTAAATAATACCGCTCCTTCTTTTAGGACACACTGTGCTCTTATCCTTGAAGCAAAAAATCCTTGATTTATTTTTGTGATAATAAAGGTATTTATGAAAAATTAAAATTATAGAGCCGGCGCCGTGGCTCAATAGGCTAATCCTCCACCTTGCGGCGCCGGCACACCGGGTTCTAGTCCCGGTTGGGGCGCCGGATTCTGTCCCGGTTGCCCCTCTTCCAGGCCAGCTCTCTGCTATGGCCAGGGAGTGCAGTGGAGGATGGCCCAGGTGCTTGGGCCCTGCACCCCATGGGAGACCAGGAAAAGCACCTGGCTCCTGGCTCCTGCCAGGATCAGCGCGGTGCGCCGGCTGCAGCGGCGGCCATTGGAGGGTGAACCAACGGCAAAAAGGAAGACCTTTCTCTCTCTGTCTCTCTCTCTCACTGTCCACTCTGCCTGTCAAAAAAAAAAAAAAAAATTAAAATTATAAAAGATTAAGTCAATGATAATCCCACTATCCAGAGATAATCAGTTACTATTTTGCTGAATAACCTTCTAGTTTGGTATGTATCCCTACCCATGAATACATTTATAACAATGGATCTTACTACTTTATAACCTGAATTTCACTGAAACAGTATGTCAAATGCTTTTCTGTATTAGTCTATACTCATGCACTGGTTGCACAGTGGGAATGCACCATTATTTAGTCAGTCCTTCTTGTGTTGATAATTATTTTGGATGTTTTCAATTTATGACTATTAGAGACATGAGTAATATCCTTGCTTACATGTTGGAGTGTTTTGCACTGTTGGGTCATAGTATGTGATTATTAAGATCATAAAGTTAACAGAAACTTTCCCTGTTTCAGGAATTTTGGATGTACGGTGCTTTTGCAAGTCTTGTGAACTGTACAAAGTTTGTTTTTAAGAATCACATGTACTTTATTACTTTTGTACAAATTTGTCCTTTTTTTACTGTTTTAGTAAACTTTTCCTTTTTTAAAAAAATTATGTATTTATTTGAAAGGAAGAGTTACAGAGAGGCAAAGATGGAGAGAGAGAGAGGTCTTCCATCTGCTGTTTCACTCCCTAGATGGCTGCAATGGCCGGAGCTGTGCCGATCCAAAGTCAGGAGCCAGGAGCTTCTTCCAGGTCTCCCATGCGGGTGCAGGGGCCCAGGGACTTGGGCCATCTTCCACCGCTTTCCCAGGCCATAGCAGAGAGCTGGATCAGAAGTGGAGCAGCCGGGACTTGAACTGGCACCCATATGGGATGTAGGCAGTAGCTTTACCCACTGTGCCACAGTGCCAGGCCCTGTACAAGGTTTTAAAAAAGGAAGTAAAGACTCTAAAGCCAGTTAGAAAGCCAAAACTATCAGTATTTGACACTCCTACATTTAAATAAACTTTTAAGAAAAAACAGATAACTTTTTATGCCAATTTCAAGTTTGCTCGCAGGAAAACTAACAGCATAATAAACCAAGAGCCGACTCTAGAGCTACACTTGATCCAGACTTTTAGGGGCAGCTCCGGCTGCGTGGCCTTGGGTAAAAGTAAGGCGAGCCTCAGTCTCCTCATCTGTAAACCTGGGAAACAGTATAGCTACCTCACAGGATTTTTGTGTTGAATATATCTTGTGTCTATCGTACCCTAGTATTTGTGTAACATTTCCCCTTTTATAGGGATATATGGCATGTATGAGTCTTTTAAATGAAAGTGAGTGCAGACATTCACTCTTTTTATCTTTCCTTTGGGGTACAGTTGTGAGATCGCCTAGGATGTCAATCTGAATATGGATGCAAGCACTAAAGCATAATTTGCCTCAGTGTTCCCTTCAAAAAGAAATTAAGCAGGTCAAACATTGTTACAATGGAAATTTCTACAATACCACAGCAATGATTAGTTTATTTCACGTAATATCTAATGACATTCTGGTGCCATATAATAGTTGAGAGTTCTTGGAGTTCATTTTAGCATGATAAAAATTTACAGAATTTTTCATAGCAAAGTATGAGAATTTTAAATGTTGATTTAAAATTCTAGTACCAAGAGCCAGATCTGTTTGTTCTGGTTTCATTAAATGTGTGTTTTGAAAAACAAAAGACAACAAACTTCAACTAAATAAGATGACTATTCTGATAGAGAATCCTGTAATTATTTTTTAAAGATTTTTAAAAAATATTTATTTATTTATTTGAAAGGCAGAGTTACAGAGAGGCAGAGGCAGGGGGGGAGAGGGAGAGGGAGAGGGAGAGGGAGAGGGAGAGGGAGAGGGAGAGGGAGAGGGAGAGGGAGAGGGAGAGGGAGAGGGAGAGGGAGAGGGAGAGGGAGAGGGAGAGGGAGAGGAGAGGGAGAGGGAGAGGGAGAGGGAGAGGGAGAGGGAGAGGGAGAGGGAGAGGGAGAGGGAGAGGGAGAGGGAGAGGGAGAGGGAGAGGGAGAGGGAGAGGGAGAGGGAGAGGGAGAGGGAGAGGGAGAGGGAGAGGGAGAGGGAGAGGGAGAGGGAGAGGGAGAGGGAGAGGGAGAGGGAGAGGGAGAGGGAGAGGGAGAGGGAGAGGGAGAGGGAGAGGGAGAGGGAGAGGGAGAGGGAGAGGGAGAGGGAGAGGGAGAGGGAGAGGGAGAGGGAGAGGGAGAGGGAGAGGGAGAGGGAGAGGAGAGGGAGAGGGAGAGGGAGAGGGAGAGGGAGAGGGAGAGGGAGAGGGAGAGGGAGAGGGAGAGAGGGAGAGGGAGAGGGAGAGGGAGAGGGAGAGGGAGAGGGAGAGGGAGAGGGAGAGGGAGAGGGAGAGGGAGAGGGAGAGGGAGAGGGAGAGGGAGAGGGAGAGGGAGAGGGAGAGGGAGAGGGAGAGGGAGGAGAGGGAGAGGGAGAGGGAGAGGGAGAGGGAGAGGGAGAGGGAGAGGGAGAGGGAGAGGGAGAGGGAGGAGAGGGAGAGGGAGAGGGAGAGGGAGACGGAGAGGGAGAGGGAGAGGGAGAGGGAGAGGGAGAGGGAGAGGGAGAGGGAGAGGGAGAGGGAGAGGGAGAGGGAGAGGGAGATGTCTTCAATCCACTGGTTCACTCCCCAGATGGCCACAACAGCTGAAGCTATGCTAATCCGAAGCCAGGAGCCAGGAGCTTCTTTCAGGTCTCCCATTCGGGTGTAGGGGCCAAGAACTTGGGTCATTTTCTACAACTTTCCTAGGCCATAGCAGAGAGCTGGATCAGAAGTAGAGCAACTGGGTTTCAAACTGGTACCAGCACTGCAGGCAGTGGCTTTACCTGCTATGCCATAGCACTGGCACCAAGATTTTTATTTATTTGAAAGGTGGAGCTACAGAGAGACAGGGAGAGACACAGAGAGATCTTCTATCCACTGGTTCACTCCCCAAATGGCCACAAAGGATGGGGCTGGGCCAGGTTGAAGCCAGGAGCCGGGAACTCCATCCAGGTCTTCCATATGGGTGCATGGGCCACCAGGTATCTGGGTCACCTTCTACTACTTTCCCAGGCTCATTGGCAGGGAGCTGGATCTGAAGCAGAGCTGCTGGGACATGAACTGGTACTCATGTGGGATGCTGGTGTTGCAGGCAGTGGCTTAACCTGCTGTGCCACAGGCTAGCCCGTTACTCCATTCTTAATAGAGGGCATACACCCACCTCTCCAGGTATTTTCTTTTTTCACTGCTTTATATCTACACATACATATTTGAAAATTCCTGACATCCAAAATACATTCTTATTTGGATGATCACTGCTATTTTGGGAAAAAGCAAAGCAAGGAGCGCATGTAAATAGTGATGCTTTTTTCTCCTTTGGCCACAGGTTTGCTTTAACAAAGGAACGGTACTCCCTTCAGAGTGGAAGGATTTCCCTGCCTTCTATCTGATGGGGTTCAGAGCTAAGATGGCGGCTGAATAAACATGGGGGCCTGGAGTCTCCTGGGACGTATTCTAGAGGAAGTTCACATCCACTCCACCATGGTCAGCAAGCTCTGGCTCACCATCCTGTTCATATTCCGAATGCTTGTTCTGGGCATAGCAGCTGGAGAAATCTGGGAGGACGAGCAGTCTGGCTTCATCTGCAATACGGAACAACCTGGCTGCAGAAACGCATGCTACGACCAGGCCTTTCCCATCTCCCTCATTAGGTACTGGGCTTTGCAGATGGTCTTTGTGTCATCGCCATCTCTGTGCTACATGGGCCATGCTTTGTACCGGCTGAGGGTTCTGGGGAAAGAGCGGCGGAGGATGAAAGCCCACTTAGAACCGGAAAGGGTAGGATTCGAGACGTCTGGGGATCAGAGGAACCTGGAGCCAGAGCTTTGGCAGCTGGGACAGAGGAAACGGAGTAAAGCTCCACTCCCAGAAGCCCTACTGTGCACCTACGTGATACACGTTCTCACTCGCTCTGTGCTTGAAGTCAGCTTCATGATTGGACAATACCTTTTATATGGATTCCACCTGCAGCCTCTATTTAAATGCCACAGGCAGCCCTGTCCAAACATAATTGACTGTTTTGTCTCACGACCAACAGAAAAGACAATATTCCTATTATTTATGCAATCCATAGCCACGGTTTCACTTTTCTTGAGCATTCTAGAAATCTTCTACCTAGGGTTTAAAAAGATTAAAAGAGGGCTTTGGGGCCAATCTAAATGGAAGGGTGAACATAAGGAATTCCATGCAAACCAGTCCAAACAAAATCAGAGGGCACCTGCCAAGTCGCCAAAGCGACTCCCTCCTGCGCCTGGTCATCTCTCAGCGGAAAAGCAAACACACAGGGCAGTGCACCCTAGTTTAAATCCATCTCCCCCATTCCAGGCAGATCCTGGCAGTCACAGTGTAAATGACCAGCAATGTGCTCTGGATGAACCAGGAGCTGTATTTTCTGATAAGATGCGTTCACTTCATACTGCTTACAGTCATCTTCAACACATCCGCTCCAATCATAGCAAAGATCCTCATAAAACATTTGGAAAAGCAGCTAATGGGAACCAGTTAAGGGAAAAAAGAGCAACTGACGGCCAAGACAGCCAAAGGAACCACTGCAGCAGAGGTCACTGTTCTGTGTCAAGTGTTGCTGGAGACCTGGACAACTACACCGAGAGGTTGCCCCAAGCAGGTGTCTCTCTGCCAGCTAACCACACCTGGAAACCGAGGTGGCTCAGTGCCACGCGGGGGCCCTCCACAGAAGGTGGAAACTGGAGGTCACCTCCAAATGGTCACCTCATTCCAAACGGCAACCTCGAGGGCCAGTTCCTGGAGGGCACAACCAGCACCTTCCCACCCTCACAAGGGAACTCCCAGCTGCTTCCTGTTCCACAGGGACCCTGCTCTTTGAGAGAGCCGTCCTGTGAGCCTGGGTTGGTCAGACCCTGCAACAATCCTGTTTGTCCTCCAAATCCTGCAGTGTCCTTGACCAACAGCCTCGCGGGGAGGCGGCTTCCCACCGACCTCCAGATCTGAACAGCTCTGGCTTCTGGACCCGGTGCGCCCTACGTTATCAGCGAAGTAGCCTCGCCCAGGCGGAGCACGGACAAAACGGCCAGGGGCAGCTGTTAGGGCTGTGGCAACTGCGACTCATCTGTGCAGGGACACTTCTGAATTCAAAGACCAAGGGTTGCCAGGTCAGGATTTTTCTTATCTTCATTTTCTATAGCTCTCTTTAGAATGTGTGAAATCCACTAGGTGAAAACCACACGTTCAGCATCGCGGCTACGTGGTTTGGAGCCAGGTTTCCTACTTGGGAGGGGCCCATGGCTTTGGGAAATTGCTCTTGATCCCCATAGCGCCTTCTTTTAGCCCCTTTATCCTCTATCTTTGGACAACGGTGTGTGTGTGTGTGGGGGGGGTGATTTTGTATTTTGTGTATCCTGGGACTCCATAGCGTAGTTTCTTTGTGGACTGCAACCTCAGGTGTACGAAGTGTAACCACAATAAAATACTACACACATCTGTGGCTGTCTCCCACCGGCCTCCCGCATCGTCACCGGTCACCCAACCTCGCCACTTCACCGGCAGCTCGCACACGGCAGGGAGGCTGTGAGGATTCACGCGAAAGCACCCGTGAGCGCTCCGCGGCGCCGGCAGCTGCCGGAGCACGTGGCCGCTCGCCCTCCAGGGCCCGCACCCAGATGTGGGCGCCGCAGCCAGCACGCTCACGCCTCAGCACGCACCTTCGGACACTGGAAACGCACGGATCCCCCAGCGCCCACCGTGCGCGCGCTTCCGGGACGACCGCCCCTCCCGCCCGCGCGCTCGAGGGCCCCGCCCCCTGGCGCCACGCCCCCTCCGGCCGCACCTGGACGCTAGGCCCCAGCTCCCGAGACCTCGCTTCTCCCTCTGCAACCGAATCGCCGCGGCGACCGGAAGAGGCGCTGCTCGGACAGCCCGAGGGGCGGGCGCACGCAGCCTCCCTCGGCTCTGCCCCCGACTGGGGATCCAGAGCGTCCCGGTCGCCATGAAAACAGGCCACACCCCGGCCGCCCCGGCCCGTGGCTCGCCAGTGCGCAGTCGCGTGCGCCCTGCTGCGCATGAGCAGTGCCGGCCGGAGCCCGCCAGCCACGGTCTCCGGCGCCAGCGACGCCGCTGCCGCTGTCACTATGGCCCATTACAAAGTGAGGGGGGCGCGGCGTGGCTGGGGGCGTGTGGGCGGTCGCCAGCTGCGGGTCGGCGCCGGGCGGGAGTGGGAGCGCGCGCAGGTGTGGGGGGTCCCCGCGGTAGCGCGGTGGAGGCGGGGTTGCCGGACTCCCAGAGCCTTCTTCCTGCTCCGGCCCCTGGGCTTCGGCCCCTGACCCGCGGTGTCTCCTCAGGCCGCCGACTCGAAGCGCGAGCAGTTCCGGAGGTACTTGGAGAAGTCGGGGGTGCTGGACACGCTGACCAAGGGTGAGCATGGGCTCCGATAGGGCTCCGCGTGCCCCTCGCCCTGCCGCTCGGCGCTGCGCCCCCGGCGGGCCTCGGCGCGGGGAAGGAGGGCGAACAGGTGGGACCCGTCCGGGTCGCAGCGAGGTGGGCTCGGGGCCGGGCGCTGCCGGCCGCCGCGGGCGGGGCGGCCTGGCTCCCGCTCCCCGCTCTCCCCGCGCCGAGAGCGCAGCTCTTGCAGCTGTTGCAAAGTCGCTCCAACTTCCGCCGCTGTGCCTGGAGCAGCCGCAGTGGTCGTGTTTGCTGGAGACCTGTAGGTGCCGGTTCCTCCCGCCTCGGGGCGTTTGCGGACCCCCCCAGCCCCACCCCCACCCCGTCCCCTGAATCTTAAGACACATTTTTCCCTCCGACCCAGGGCAGCTGGGGAAAACACCAGATACGAAAGAGGGCTGTGCAGCACTCCTCGCTTCCCCCGCTGTCTTGGTCTAATTCAGTTCCTGCTGTGTGTAGATTTCGTATTGAAGGTAGAAATGCAGTGTGTGAAGCCCGAGGACACATCAGAATTTTTATATTGTGCACAAGCTTAAAGCTGGAAGTCCACTGTTACACTGTATCAGTGCCCGCGTGGGTTCAGGATCTACTGGGGGAGATGCTTCAAACAGCAGGGGTCCCAGAGGTGATAAGGGGTCTGCTTGCTTCTGAGCTCAGCAGTGTGTCGCCTGGCTCACTGGCTGGGATTTTCCAGGGTGTAGAACGGAATTGCTGGCAGAGATGAGACCAGGACCATGGGAAAAGAACAGGAAATGTCTGAGAAATAATTTGGTAACTGCTCTGTGTTCAGAAACGAGGGTTTGGGGGAAGCTTCTGGGCCAAGAACTCTCTGGTCTTAGAAGATGGTAGGGCTCTTAATTCCTATGCAGGGATGGCTGTTTGACTTGCTACCCACGTTGGGTTCGATACTAGTCTCCCTGTCTTTGCAAATACGTTTCAGCAAATGTGAAGGAATTCCTCTGTGAAAGGCTGTGCTGTGTTGTCACTGCAACTGTCGTGAATGCTTGGAATGTCATTCCCTCAAAAAATCCAGCAAACTCATTTCTTTAACCATTTTATTCAGGCCTCCTAGACACTGGGGATACAGTAGTGGGGGAAGAATGTCCCAGGCCTCATGCAGTAATATCCTAGCTGGGGAGACACAGCGTAGATAAATACTTAGTGTCAACTAGTGGTAAGTGTTAGGAATGCAAACCTAGCAAGGTTAGGGGGCCGAAGGTGGTGGGTGTGATTGTGCCACTCAGTCAAAGTGTGCGAGTACCAAGGCTTTCCTTTAGAAGTAACTTGCGAACAGAGACCTGAATGAAATGTTGAGTTCCAGGAAGTCTTACAGGTTGATCGTCTTTAAAATCCAGAATGCTCTGCTATCTGAAACATAGTGTCAGCATGACACCACAAGTGGGAAATGCAGCAGCTTGACCCCATGTAATGGGTGCCAGTCATAATGCACATTGTGTAAATTTACCCTTAGAAACACTGTGTCAGTTTGTCTTTAGGCAATATGCATAAGAGGTCTATGAAACAAATAAACTGTTTAGACTTGGATTCCATCCCTAAGATAGTTCATGTATATGCAAATATTCCAAAATCCAGAAAAAAAAAACAATCTGAAACACTCTGGCCCAGGCTTTTTGGATAAGGGATATCAAGGAGGCCAAAGTGGCTGGGTGGAGTGAGTGGCAGAAAGCCAAAACAGAGGACGATAGGATTTGGTAACTGACTGCACAGGAGAGGCACAGCCTTGTGGCCACGTGGGGTTTTTCCTTCATGAGGGTGGAAGATCCTGGAGCCGCCTTTTCCCTTGCACACACCCACTGCACTGTAACTCTTCATCTCCTTAGATTTCCACTCTCCGTAACACCAGTGTAGTGTCTACTGGTATAATTTAGTTTAGAGTTTTATTTTCAGCTTCAAACATAGGTTCTTTATACAAATTAGTTTTTTATCCAGCTATTTCCAAGAAGATTTGAACTGCTTATAACAAAATACTAAAAGAGAATGGCTAAAGATGATAGATCTTTAGAAGAGAAGGCATTTTAGTTATTTTGAGCACTATATCAACCTCTAAACATTCTAGCTGCCTAGGCAAAAAAGGGGAACATAATCAGGCAAAGAGTTTTCCTTCTCTTACTAAAAGGAAGTATATTTCATCTATAGAAAAGCACAGGAAACAACATTTACATTCGATTCTTTATTCAGGTTTTAAGGACCATGGACAAATTTAGAAACTGAAAGAAGTGGGGTGGGAGAGAAGGGGGAGGAAAGGGTAAGAGTATGAATATCCATGTCTCAGAAATTCAGGGTTCAGTAGAGCTCAGTAGGAATTAATGGAAGAAGAACAGGCTGGAGCATATGAAGAAAGAAGTAATAAACAGGGCTTAAAGAATACTGTAGCCGACACTGATGGAGAGGAGAGAGGACAGCGGGGGTGCAAATACACCAGCTTCTTAAGCAGCAGTGCCGTCAAGGTATTACATGGTTAAGTGGTTGCCTGTTTGATTTTTTTTCATACTCTATATTTTATCAAAACTGCAAAAGACAAAAGGGGGAAGCACGCAAAATGGCTTACAACAGGACTTCTTAGGATCTAGGGGCACATTTTTTTTTTTGCGTGTTCAATGTTTTGTTTCATGAGATCTTTCAAAGAGTTTCATTTACAAAAAGTCTAACTGGTTTAGTGAGATTTCTGAGTAGATTCTAGGAGGAATTTGTTCAATAGAAGAGCAAGGTGGTACTCATGTGAGCTATTGGATATGAAACCATCACAGTATATATTTTAATGTCGAATACTGGTGAAATTCTGGTTGGTGGTTATTTGTTATGCTATGTGTGAAACTTCGTTCTTGAAGAACATTTGAATTTGAGGCTTCCTCCAGTAATTACCATAGCCCTCTTTTTTTTTTTTTTTTTTGACAGGCAGAGTGGACAGTGAGAAAGACAGAGAAAGGTCTTCCTTTGGCCATTGGTTCACCCTCCAATGGCTGCTGCGGCCAGCACGCTGAGGCTGGCATGCTGGGGCCGGCGCACCGCACTGATTCGAAGGCAGGAGCTAAGTGCTTCTCCTGGTCTCCCATGGGCTGCAGGGCCCAAGTACTTGGGCCATCCTCCACTGCACTCCCTGGCCACAGCAGAGAGCTGGCCTGGAAGAGGGGCAACCGGGACAGAATCCGATGCCCCGACCAGGACTAGAACCCGGTGTGCCGGCGCCGCAAGGTGGAGGATTAGCCTATTGAGCCGTGGCACTGGCCACCATAGCCCTCTTGATACCTGGATTTTCTCCAGATTTCTTTCTGCCCACTCCTCTGTCCCTCTAGTGCAGGTCACTTCTTAGACTGGACTACCACATCTGCCTTGGAATTGTTTCTCTAGCCTCCATCCTTGTCCCACTCCAGTTGGCATCCCACACAGCAGTCAAGGGTGATCCTGTGTCTTCCTTGCTTAGAACTGTTTACTTAGATGCCTGCTGTTCTTTGGATCAAAGTCCAGCCACACTTGCATGACCCTCCACAGGCTGGTGCCTGACCACCTTTCCAGCCACATTACTCACAGCTCCAGGCAGCCATACTTGAATTTTCAGTTCAGTACTGTTCTCTTGCCCATGGCCTTCCTGTTGGATCTGAAACATACATCGCCTAGATCGCAGGTCTTTCCCTCCCTTGATGCTCTCCCTGAAGCCCAAGGCTGCAATCCTGTTACCCATGGTCCCGGACTGCTGCTTGATGCTCTGTCTAGTGCCCTGCTCTGTGCTGTACTGTGAAGTCCTTGCCAGCAGGGGCCTTGGCTGTCTTAACAATGTACTTGGCAGGCAGTAGGCAGTTAGTACTTATTGGCTTAAGAAACAGAATCTCAGCCATTCAAATTTAAGACTTTAATTGTTACTTTTTTCTGCTTTTTTGATTTGCAGTGTTGGTAGCCTTATATGAAGAACCAGAGAAACCTAATAGTGCTTTGGAGTATCCTTTTCATCTCGAAGTAAAAGAAAAAAAAGGCCTCATTTTGGAGACTCATTTTTTCAAACAGATAATAATCTTTGAAGTACTTTTGTTTATTGAAAAAATTATTTTCCTTTGAGTTTTTGGGTAACCACTGGGTAAATTTTGTTGGCAGGGTGGGTGAC